TACAATGAATCTAATGTAACTGAGATGAAACGTAGACGAATGAGTCTCAAAGATGTCTTGGTTGCTCTCGAGTTATGAACGTTAACTTTACTGTCGTTGTGCCGTTATGGTCGTTTCGTTACCAGATGTTCTTGCCCGTCCAGTTATATAAAGGTCTATATATCAGATTGTCTAAATTACATATGAGTGGTTAACGCAATTGGTCATTCATCATATCCAAGTCTAGTCATCTGGTTATGATGCAATGTAGGTAGTCCTATGATTCATAAGTGCGCTCGCACTGTATGGCCGTGCATGATCGGTGCTGGGACTGACCGCCTGCCGGTCTATGGTGGCATGCTGCTGTCTGGTGGTTGGCTGCACTATACACACACTCTGTCTTTTTCTCTCCCCGATCCAGCCCAGGTGTAGGCCCGACGGGTGCCTCCATGCCGTTCACAGCCGCCGCAGCCACCAACCACTGACGGCCGACCGCGATCGGCTAGCCTGCCACCTGCCGGCGCCGTCGGCAACTACAACTGCCGGTCCCGGCCGCCTGGGAATGGTCAACAGAGGAGGATTGCGGCCAGATCTTGGTCGCTGACGAAGACACACTGGCGTGGAGGAGACGTCATGTGCGGTCAGAACTGAACTGGGTGACTGACCGAACCGCGCCGGTGCAGCATCGGCGGCCTTCGAGCGTTGGCGACAGAACTGTTGGCCACGTCAGTGCCAGACGGAAAACTGAGCCGTCGGTGGTGAATGGTTTAGGGTTGTCTCTGAGAGGAAGGACACGTGAGGTGTACTGTGAGTGCGTGCTGGTGAGGATTCCCGAGCTGGTTGAAGGGATCGCGAAGTACACCACCCTTTCCAAACGACGTGTGAGTGTGTTTTGATGCGGATGTTGTTAAAGTAATCCAGCGTGTGCAAGTGTTTAGGTCCATTCAGTGGCTGTTCGTATGTGTTGTTCGGCGTTCCGTGGCAGCACGAGAGGGATGGTTGTGCTTGTCTATGCACCCTGTAGCCCTGAGCTTGCAAGTGGTGTGCGGGCCGTGCCCGCCCGTACACCGCCTCCGAAACAGCACGGTGTTGTTCCCTGGGTTTGGAGCGTGATGGTAGCTGACTAGCCGCCGGGCATTCCCGTTCTTCCCTTGGCCTTTCCTCGATCTGGTGGTGTGGCATCTCAGAAAACTTAGTTTTAATGTTGCTCTCAGTGGTCCGTTGTAGAACGCCTTTTCCTTGTAACATGTTGATGGGTGTGAACATGTTAAGCACACAATATATACTTTGTCTTAACTAAATCGTGATGTTTTTGCTTTTGGAACGAATAGCGGTATCGATATTCGCCATGGTGCACGCCTGTTGACGCTTATTGTTATGTATTTAACGATCTTTACACTAAAATTAGTTGATATAGCGAACAACGGTCGGTCATGTGCTCAATAATAGCTTCACGAGCAGTCTCCATCCATTGGTGAACTGAAGGGAACAAGGGAGTGTTACGCGATTCCGCATCCAGTCGAGAGACTTTCAGTACTTGTACTGGATCTGAGGTGCTGTGCTGGTGGCATGACAGATCAGATGAGTCAGCTCTCATTTGCCCCAATGGCTCACTGCCATGACGCTCGTCGCTCAGCCTACCACAGCCCTACGGCAGTCGGCCAGGGTCGCTCACTGTCTGTAACCGTACTGTTCCAGAGCCCAGGGCAGGTGACGTTATTATCGCCAAACCTTTTGGTTTTCATACTCGCCGGTCAAAGGGGACGACCCCCATAGCCGTTTTGCCCCTGATGAAGCTAGAGCCTCGCGGAAAAAAACGAGCGTGGCTTGCGCCGTTACGAGACGCAGCGACTGGCTTCCGATTTAAGGTCTCAGGTCAACCGGTGACCTCTGAGGTCAGGTCAAATGGCGCAAGGCACGAGTTCGGTTTTTAACCCGCGCATGACTGGGGTATTTTCCATAACGCGAGTGACGAGGGGGGCTCTCCAGAGCCCCCCCCCCCCCCTCCCCTCCTATCTCCGAAACTACTGGGCCGATCGTGAAAATTCAAACGGCGTCTGATAGCCCTGGAAAAACTGTCGAGCGAAATCTATTTTCATTGACCTCGAGGTCACCGATGACGTCACAGGTCAGGTCAAAGTAAAAATTATCGACATTTTTGCTAGTTCACAATTTAGGCTCTGACCGCCGGACCGCCGCACGATAGGACCGCGGCCGGAATTAGCGCGACATTGGTGGATTTGGCGACCTTTCCCAAATTGAGTTAAACTGTATCACGTAGTTCAGAAATGTCCATGGACCACGAATCTGCAAATATTTTTCGTCCATAGTGTACAGCGTCCGCGCCACATCAGCCCAAACACAAAGTTTTGTGCCAAGCATCGTAGACCCGTTTTCGTACGGAGAAAAATAGCAGCTAATGTAGGTAAAAAATATATCTATTAGACGGCTTTATCAATATTTTCGACGTCTAACCTGATAGTTTAGACCATGGGCTACACGATGGAAGAAAAAAACTCATAGCGGAATATATAAATACGCTTCAAATGTTAAGTTTTTTTGGTGCTTTAAAAATTGTGAGTTAATTTTACTGTTATAGATATTCTGGAATGCCGATATAAAAAGTCCCGCTAGGTCCCGCTGTTCTTTTATCAATATGGTGTTTACCAATCAATTGCTCTTCAGAAAATGTATAATTTAGCTGCGTCAGCCTGCAGCAGCGAAAATGAGGGGCATTTTTTACTCCAGGTCGCCGCGGCCGGGAGCCGCGAGTAACAGAACCTCAGGAACCGAACAAGGTTGCCAAGTGCCAACTATATTCAAGTTTTGTCCGGACCTATCCATACCTTCTATCGGAGTTTCTGATACACTTTTCTGACCCGTAATAAATTTGTTATATAGTCATGTAGGCCATCAGATTCCCATCTTCACGGTTTTGGTGGCTACATTATTTGCTTATCGGAATTTCCGGTGCCGTCATGACCTGGCCTGACAGGTGCTGCCGTCTTATCACGTGACCGAGCGGAGTCGGGGTCAGGGCAGGTCAACCGATTAATTAATCAATTAATTAATGAATTAATTAATGATTAATTAATTAAATTAATCAGAAATTGCTTAGAAAGTACACCGATTACCATTTTTATGATTCTACCATCCTTTTCATGTGAAAAGCGGGCACGAAATACGAAAAAGTACCGATGTCGCGCTAATTTTCGCTCCGGTCCCATTGTGCGCCGGTCCGATCAGGCTCATTTTTGGTTTACGCACTGAGCACTCCTTGACAGATGCCTTAGATACCCTGAGGGTACCGAACTTTAACTTCGAATTTTTAAGGTCAAGGCCAGGTCATCCTAGGTCACGAAAATTGTACATCATGTATCGGTCACGTGACGCATGTTTTATGGTCCATTTTACTCGTAGATTTCGAAAATAGTGTCGTCTGTGTCATTTGAGGTCATTGTCAGCTGAATTTACCGGAGGTCAGGTCACTTTCAGGTCAGAAAAGGTCAAATTTTTAAAATGAAATTTTTCAACAAAAAAGGTGCCTATCAGATGCAGTTTGAGCTCAGGAACACGATAGTGCCATTTATGTTGCTGTACGACGTCAAAAACGTACTGAAAAATGGATTTGAAAAAAAACATAAAATTGTAAAATTGTGACAATAATGCGAATAACTTGGCTATTTTTGAAGATATTGGGCTAAAACTTGCAAAGGTAGTTCATCAGTGTGTGTTCTATCACAGCTATTGCGGTTTTTGCGAAAAGTCAAAAACTTTTTGAAAAAATCAAAAAATATATTTTTTGTAATTGTAAATACATATTTTTCAAAATTTTCAAAATTTTGAAAATTCGAGATAGCAGTTTGATAGCTACCTGTATTTGTAGTCCACTCATGCAAAGAAAATGGATCTAGCTTTAAAACTGAGCTCTTGAGAGCGTTTGCCGTAATTCAGTATTTTGCATGAAAATCGGTCGACATGACGTCACTCTGACGTCATTTCCGGCCAAACTATAGTAGCTAGAAAGTTGAAATTTTAACACAAGGTGTCAAATTGATGCCTCTGAGGGTACCGCAAGTTTCGTGTTGATCCGTCAAACGGTTTATAAAATATTGCTGAAAAACGGGAGGGGGCTCTGTAGAGCCCCCCCCCCCCCCAGTCATGCGCGGGTTAATAAATAGCTTCGCAAAAAAAAAACTGACGCAGAGCCGCGATTTTGGCATCGTCGTGTTCGACTCGCTCAAGCGCTTCGAATAGTATACTTTTTGTGACTTATAATAGTGAAGTCACGCGACCGACCTGGCCTCATGTGACCTTTAGAAAAATCCGAAATATACACGTTCTGAGACCTATAGAGGCTACTACGTCCTGTAAGTCTCATCCCCTGTGAAAGTTCCTTTGGCACTGAGGTCGATGTGAAGTTGCGACATCTGAAGGCCATGCAGAGGTTAACTTATGACGTCATAGGTCAGTGACCTATAGGCCATATAGGGCTAGTGACCCATGGGTCACAGGTCAGTCATAGATCAGGACAGTGAGTAGTGACATATGACGCCATAAGTAAACCTCTGCACGGCCCTCAGATGTCGCAACTTCGCAATACCCTCAGTGCCAGAGCAGCTTTTGCAGGGAGATGAAACTTACAGGACCTTGTATCCTCCAGAGGTCTCACAACTTGTATATCTATGAATTTTCCTAAAGGTCACGTGACATGGTCAGGTTAGTCACGTGACCTTTTCATTATAAGTCGATGGGGAAAAATGAAAACTGCTATTTGTGCCGGGAATGATCTCAAAATAGTTCAAGCACACGGAATCGTGATTTCATGCAATCCTTGCAAGGTCCGATGCTTCACTTTTGCATTGGTGACCTTGTGTGACGTCATTTATGACATTACTAGGGTCATATGATGATGTCAAATAGGATCCCAAGAGATTTTCGTTAATAACTCACGATCAAATTGAGCTAGCGAGCTGGGAAAGCCGCCAATGGACTCGGGAAGACCTGCCGAATAAAAAACGCGAGTTCACAGCTGAATTTAAACAGAATTCCCAAATAATGACAAAGCACAATGATACCGTGCATTTATGCCGCGCACCTATATAGTATATAGGTCGCTCACGGACGCTTATGTCGGGCACCTCTTCTGAGAAGAGTCGACTGCAGATGGGAGCTTTATATTGTTCGGTATTATTAGCTTGGCCATGCCACAAGGAATCGACTGATGTGTGATGCGAATATGTCAGATGAACAGCACAGAAGAAATTGACGTTTAGCTGAGTCAACTTCTTATTGGGACGCATTGTAGGTACTTTTGTTTCGTTTTTTTTTTTGTCATCCATGGCAATAAGGAGCACTTTTCTATAACAACCATAGTGATATATTTTGGCCCCGTTACGAGCAAAATTATCTCAATGGAATAACTTCCAGAGTTTGCTTTGCGAGTCAGTCTTCATTTGGCTAGAGCGCTCGAGCCATATCGAGACCGACGGCCCGCGGTCCGGTCCCCATCGCTCAGTATGTGAGTGGGCGGTCCTTCCGTTCGGTGGGGGCGCTGCCGGGCAGCGGTTGGTCGCTCTCCCCTCGCTCCCCTGCGCTGATTGGTGCGTGAGGAGACGGCGCGGCGACTGGCCTGGCCCCGCGGCGGTGTCGCTTCTCCGCCGTCCTCTCCTGGGCAACCCAGCTGCCGTCAGAGCCGTCAGAGGAGTCGAGACAGTCGAAGGAGTCGGAGTACAGTCGCTATCGTCGCCAAGATGAGCCCGAGCCCGTTGTTCCGTCCCTGGGACGGCCACACGAGTCTGACAGGAGTGAGGAGTCCGCAGCTGCCGCGGCCCGCGGCGCCCGACACTCCTAACTCGGAGAGCTCACCAGCCAGTCCCAGGAGTGCACCGGCCAGCCCTGCGTCCATCGGGCTACCTGCCAGCCCCGTGAGTCTGCCCGCCAGTCCTGCCAGCCAGCCTGTCAGCGCTCTTGACAGTCTCACAGTCCGGTCTGCCAGTTCTCGGAGCCGTCCTGTCAATATGTCTGCCAGCACTTCCAGCAGCCCTGTCGGTCTACCCGCCAGTCCTGCCAGTCTACCTGCCAGCCCCGCCAGTCTACCTGCCAGCCCTGTCGGTCTGCCTGTCAGCCCTCGAGGTTTGATTGACTGGCGGCTGTGCGGTGGGTCGACTGGTGTCGAGCTGCCGCGTCTTCTGTGGCCGTCGGCACTGTCTGCTGGCTGTGACCCGTGGTCGGCCGCTGCTCTAGCTGAGGAGGAGCGCCGGCGGGCTGACGCCAGCAGAAGACGTCTGAAGAAGTTTGGCTGTCCCAAGTGTCCGATGATGTTCTCCAACCGGGGCCAGCTGGCTGGACACTACAGGAAGCACACAGGTGAGAGTCGGGACGGAGTGGAGCGCTGAATAACGAGGGTTTATTTTGTTGGAGAGAGGACATAATCATTCACAGCCCTTTGATGCCTTTTAACATTAAATTGTTGGAGGGAGGACATGGCGTTTACAGCGCTATGCATGATGCCTTTTAATGCTAAAATTGAGTAAGAATTATTCCTTCATTACGTTGTTTACGTACTAACATCATAAGAAATTGATCAAAATGTCCGGCAAAACTAATGTTTTCTCGTTTCTTTTCCCCTCAGGCGAGCGGCCGTTTGAGTGCGAGACGTGCCACAAGCGGTTCACGCGGAACGAGGAGCTCACCCGACACACGCGCATCCACACGGGCGACCGGCCGTTCGGCTGTGAGCTCTGCGGCAAGCGGTTCGGCCGCAAGGACCACCTCAACAAACACCAGCGGACCCACGCGGCGCCCCTGTACGCCGCCGGACTGCCGGCCGCGCTGCTGGGCCTCTCCCCGCTGGAACTCAGCAGCTACCTGCACGGCAGCGTGTTCGGAGCGCCGGTGTTCTGAGGGTGTTCAAGCAGATGTTGGAGAAACTGTTCTGTGCTGATCTGGTGTGTTGAAATGGAGAGTGCTTTTAAGATGTGCCGTTATTGATGAACCGAGTAACTCTCAAATGGTACCTGTGATATTTTGCACTGTGTGTATGAACTTATTTTGTGTATCGATGGTTTAATAAACTGCTCATCTTTGTCTATCCGGATTTTATGATGCGGTGTAAACGAGAAAACAGCTTCGGAACTGGGGTCTTGGCGCGCCGTTCTGGTTCCAACTCTGAGCTCCCGGGACTCTTTCTGATACGATTTATAAAATGTAGACTGAAGAGCAGTTGTGACCTACGCACCCCAGTTACCTGAAGGGACAATGCTGGGCAAAGTGGACATCGCCGGACCGTAGGTTGTTTGAAAAAAAGTGCACATTGTATGTATAGTCGACTACAGAATGATGTTCCACTCCTCAGAAGCTATCAGTTGACCGGAGCGCTAATGTCGTTTATCACGCAATTAAGCGTGTCGATTGTGAGCATTGGGACAAAGCTATAATTTGTGAACTCAGTCCGTGTGATGCGGCACAGCCTACCACTCCAGGCAAATAATTGCCTGTGAAAAGTAGAACATCATTCTGTAGTCGACTATACAAGTAAGCATTCAACGCAGTGATCGACAGATGTGTAATCGATTTGGAAACCATGCAACTTCCCCGCCCGGATAAATCCAACGGAAAAGGTAATAATGATAATGTAAGATAACATTGGAGTATACAAGCTATGTTGGAATCTATGTAAGAATCTACGTCTACGAGCTTTCGTCAACATTTTCACCATCTGGACATTTTTGTGACAGTAGGCTACATTAGCAACATTTCAGCGTGTTACCATAAATACTGTGAGCATTTATGAATTCTATAGTGAGTCAAACCTTTCTCTATATTATTTGTACCATATAAATTTTGTATGCCGCAATGGCCAGCGGTCGCGATACAGGATGGAGATTGCAAGAAGTCTCAGCAGGGCTGACTTTTTATTTAGGTGAGCCGCAACTACACTCCTTTGCTCCTTTGCGACCCACAACCCCTAATTTGGGGAGGACAAGCTGCCCAACGGTTCCTGGCCTCATGAAACGTTGTGGGGCACCGCCCCACTGTAGGCCGGCAGCCTGAAAAAGCGCTAGAAATTCACCCAAACTGACTGTCCGCAATATGAACAAAATAGGTATCATTTAATCCCAAATTGATCGAAGAATACGATTCCGATGCTAGTTTTGCCCTAAGGTCAAAATTGAGGTCGTCAGTTGTCACCAAACACAAGACAATTTAGACTCTCTATAGGCCACCACATTTACCGATTTTAATGATGAACTTTAGTGGTAATTTATTAGTTGACCAATCGTCGTTTTGAACGAAATTTCCTGTCAGACTAGCTCAGGGCACTGTTGTTCACTGTGCCAACATCATTCTGACATATTGCATCGCTTTTCTGCAAGATAAGCTAGCTGTTTGCAAGCAGCTGCAAGACGTAATTTAAAATTATATCCAATTTTTTAATTAGACTTTTATAAAAACGTTATTTCGAGCGGCTAAAAATGAACATTTCATACTAGCCTCTGATTACTCATCTTTTGTTCCATATAGGTGCTTTGCTGCTTTTCCCTGCTACTTTTCGAGATATGCGCCAGTAAACCACATGATGTAGGGGCAATTGTCACCTCGCCGCTCTACTGAAGGCCCGGCGCTCTTTAAAACGCTGGAAGTTGTGAAAAACAAACGCTTATAATCTAAATGAAATATATGTCCCTGAGCTCAGAATTGATCAACGCACACAATGCTGTCAACATTTTTGGGCCAAACTCAAAAATTCAGTCATTATTAACCCCTAAACACAAGTTAGTGGTAATCAACAACAACTTGCTCTTTAGTTAGACTTTTTGAGAAATGTTATTTCGAGCCGTTAAAAATGGCCATGCCATACAAACCACCAATCATCTTTCTATCATACCCTACTCGCAATTTTTGCTAATGCCTGCTACTCTTCGAGGTCACGTGACCTCACCATTAAAAGTGAATGGGGAAATAAGGAAACTGTTGTTTTTGCGCATGGAATGATTTCAAACTATCTCAAGCACACGGAATCGTGATTTCGTGCACTCCTTGCAAGATCCGATGCTTTACTTTTGCATTTTTGACCTTCCGTGACGTCATTGATGACGTCACACCGGTCATAGGAGTTTCTCGTCAATAACTCATGATCAAATTGAGCTAGCGACTTGGGAAAGCCACCAATGGACTCGGGAAGACCTCCCGAATCGAATGATATGCGATACGACCTCCTTCGATTAAGTTCGTGGCCTGATGGGCTCTGAGCTGACCTTGACTCGAGGTCAATACCTTAAGTTGACCTCACCCGAACAAAAAGTATACCATTCGACGCGCCTGAGCCAGGCGAACACGATGGTGCCAAAATCGCTGCTCTGCGGCCATTTTTTGCGAAATTATTTGCCAAAAACCAAACCCTACCTTGGGCTTTTTGACTTCACCTCAGAGGTTACCGGTTGACCTGGGACCTTAAAATCGGGTATCAATCGTTCCGCCTTGAAACGGCGCACACGCTTGTTTTTTCCGCGAGGCTCTAGCTCCATTAGGGGCGAAACAGCAAAAAGGGGTCGTACCAACCCTCCCCCCTCGGCCGGCCGAGGGGGTGGGGGGTCCGACAATAGGTTCGGCGAGGGTTAAGCAGCCCCACTTCGTTTTTAGCATGTTTGCTTGTCACTGAGATCAACAACTCAATCACAAATAATTTCTAGCACTTTTCCGGACCCCCGGCCCAGTGTGCGCGCCCCCACGGCCGCAGAGTTGTGGAGGCAAGCTTCCCCCACTGCCCCCTCTCCCAGTTCCCGCGCCTATGTATGAATCTATGAAATTATGTTGGTAGATTTCCGATTTCGATTCCTCCAGCTGGGGGGGGGGGCTCAAATACATAAAAGCTGGGGGGGGGGGGGGGGGGCTCAGCCCCCGCTAGCCCCCCCCCCCCCGGTTCCCGCGCCACTGCCGCGTCTCGAGCAGCTGGACTATTCAAAGAATTCTTGATAGCCATTTTCAAGAACACGCAGGAATCTGCTTGTACTCCGATTTTTTTCCACCAATGAGGTGTTCTGGACGTAATATAAAACATTAGCATATTTCTGACATTTTTAGGAATGGCATGCTTTCTTACTGCTAAAACTTTGTCTGATGGAGATTAGAGAATGCAATGAATGAATGAACTTTCGCTATGTCAAACCTGAATATTTAAGCTATGCTTTGAGCATCTATTGGTTTGCAACACAATTGTGACAGGCTTTATTTTGGTTAACTTTGTTTTGAATGTGCTGTTGGGGTTAAAGGCCCACCAATTGGTGTGGGACAAAGCGTCCATCATGGGCCAATGGGAGCTATACAGCATGGGTAATTGCGAGCATTTCGTGCTAAGAGCAAGTGTCGGAATGCGTTTCTAATGCTCAGGATTCTTACTAAATATGCAATTTTCTGTTTAGTATGGTCGAAAACTATTTATTCGCAAGAAGTCTTTGTTCCCCACGGCAGTGACAGGCGTTGACTGAATAAGGAGTGCAGGGTGGCGAAGGCAGTGCTTAATATGCTTTTAATGGTGTAATTTGTCGAGTTGAAGTCTAACGAAATGAGGAATGGATGAATGCTACATTATTTTGCCAGAGTATCAAAAGTATGATGGGACGTTCAGGACTGGGCGTTATGCCCCACCCATATGGGCGTTATGCCCCACGGGTGGGGCAAAACGCCCGATTTGTAGTTCTCTCAAATCGAATGGCATATCTTAAAAACTATGCATGCCGCATGTTTCTAGTGTGTTATTCGACGAAAGTCTAGGTAATGAGCTATACCAGATCAGCTACCTGGTTGCCCCTCAAATTTGTAAGATAAGGAGATATTGAGGCTGGAAAGGTAGGATGGGCGCTTTGCCCCACCCTACCCTATGCATGTTGGCCACTTTACTCCAAACCCCCAGGGCAAAGTGAACACCTGCGATTTTTTTTGCCCCGACATGAGAAACAGGATAGTTGCATCATGCACGACTTTTGTTAATAGTAATAAGGTTTAAAAGAGAATAGATGTTTATTTTGTCATTTTCCTACCTGTATCTTAACAATGCAAGGACATTCATGGAAAAACAGTGCATTACATTTTTTGGTAACTCATGAATAACCGAAAAGTGGCCGAAATAAACGCATGACGAATAGAGATGGTAAAATGTGGACCCGAGGACCCGGTCCAAACAACCAGTCTGGACCCATATGGGTCCAGACCGGTTCCTGGAAATTTTCTGACGGTCCCAACCAGGTCCTACCATAAACCATACATCTTGCACACTACACATGATTGCAAAATATGAAGTGGATGGAAAGAAAACATTTGCTCACGTATGTTTCCATGCATACTGTAGCTTATGAGTATTCCCAGTGAGAGAAAAGCTGTTTTACATGATACAACTAATAATACCTTCAAATAGTTTGTATTAATTGAATTTTAGAGAACGGGTCCAACTGGTTCCGATTCCAACTTAGACCGGTTCCGACTGGTTCCAGAAAGTCCCGTCGGGTCTGGTTCGGGTCTGGTTCCCAAAATTCTCACCTTTTGCCACCTCTAATAACGATACATTTACCTAATAGCAATAAGGTTTGTTGTCCAGATAGAAACAACTTATGGGCAATTGGGGGCTGGCCACTCTGTCCCGTCCACTTTGCCTCGCGCATACCGTCCGAGAGAAAAAAAAATTCCAGCTCAGCTAGTAGTGGGCAAAAATCATTGGTAGAACATTGGTAGAAGTCATGTACGATAACCACACAATGCATGAACAAGAACGCTTAAAGGGACCCTCCCACCTTAACATTAGTTTTGAGTTGAGATAGCCAAATTGGTGGCCATGGCCTGAAAATACCGGTTTGGGCATTCACAACATCGAAAAATGCTTTAATTCGGAGATATGGAATTTCAAACTTGCAGTTTTCGGATTCTAAGGGGCTAATGCATTGGTATGCCCCCTTAGAATTTGTGACGTCAGCGGAGATCTAACGATTTTTAAATCTTTTACTAAAACGTTTGGCAGCACGCGGTGGTATATGCTGCTTTGCGCGCAACAAATGCCGCACTTTCAAATAAAGTCGCTAGGAACAGCGGAGATCCCAA